ATGAACGCACTTTACGACTGATGATGGAGTGGACGATCGCCCGGCCGTCTCTTATCATAAAAATAAACTTCAAGTTCGGAAACAAATGCCGCAAATAGACGGCCGATTTCAAAGTCATAGGATCTTTTTTGCATAGCCTGGGGGCAGGCTTTCCGTGCTTTACGATTATCTCTAGTATAAAGGCGCCGATCGCCGAGTTGAACACTTCGGGGGTAATGCCGGCCTCTGATTGTCTGCGCGTTTCAAATGGCGCTTTGAACGACGACTGACCGAAGTCCAGGAGTCGAGGTATAACTCGGGTCTCTTCGCCGGACCTGATGTCCGGGTGAGCGTCGAGAAGAACCCTCAATAGAGTGGTACCACTTCTAGGCATTCTTCCGATGAATATGAGAGGCATATATCGATTGTATACAAACTTATGTGTTTCGCCGCTTTGCTCGCCTTTACTACTCATTACAAATCGCTTTATAATTGATTGAAAAATATGTTTAAATTTAAATAAATTTTAATTATATTTTCCATAAACAAAACCTAATAAAATACTTTATAACAACCACCATCAGTATGTTTGACAGTTTAGTTAAAATCCGTTTCAATCGATTATATGACGAAAAAGTCTAAGATTTTATCTAAATGTATGTTTTTATATCAATAGTTATGTTAATGATTTAAAGTATAGATTTTCGGTGATAAATGTCATCGCATTTTAAACTTTTAAAGCATTAAAAACAAACACATATTTCATGTAAAAATGTACTGTTTATTAAAATTGACATTAAATGACTGATACTGTAGTATTCATTTGAAAACGAGACAACACATGGAAATATAAATTAAATTATAAATCAATAGGAAATGTATGCAAACCTCGGGTGATATCCATTGGTTTTGTGGGGTAACAATCCCATCAGAATATATCTCTTAAGAGTTCTTCCGCCCATTATCTCGCAATTGATGATCGCATCCAACATTCACTCACAGACTTTTTGACCACAATTTACATTTAAGACACAATCACTTGAATTTAGTGGCGTAAACATATGTCCAGTCCTTACATGGACTTCCAAACCTACAATTTAAGTTACAAAATGTTTAATTATTAGTCATTTAATGAGCATAAATTACTGACAATATGGTTTTATAACACATATGTATTATAATTAAAACTAGTAAATGGACTCAATCTATTAGATGCAATTTAAATGAATTTAGTATTATGATCAAGTTATTTGTTTTATAACAATTTATTAAGTTTGTTTATTTTAGTATATCGCAATTTAATTATACTGTAAAGTAAAGTAATTAGTTTATAGTTATTATTTACATTAGTACTGTATACTCTAATTAATTTAAAACTTTCCTGAAAATTTAATTAAAACTTTTGATTCATTTGGATTTATTTTTTGTAGTTTAGCTCTTAAAAAGTTAGTTTGCTAAGTTAGTTTAATTATAATTATAATAACTTTTTATAAACATGAATCTACACTTATATTAAATAATTAAAAATACCGGTACGATAATACTTTTTGTGCTATAGTATGTGGTAACACAGAATATACAGTAGAATAAATATATTCAAGGTGAAAGTGTAAGAATTGTATAAAATATAAATGAATTATTATTTAATTAATATTGTTAATCGATATTTTTTTAATCAAAAACCTTATTTCTCTATATTTCAAACAATATTCATAATAACATATTTCATATCAATTTCATATGTATGGATGTATTTATTATTTATAAAATTACAATATTCTGTAATAACATACAGTAAAGTCATATAATATTTTTGTATTACCATAATATAGTGAACATTGATTTGCAAACAACAATCACAAATTGTGATTCACAATCACTGTCATATAAACTTTGAAACATTGCAGTTGTTTTCTCAACATTTCGTAGATAATTAGTTATAAAACAAAATATGATAAATTAATTTATTAACATGATAACAAATAAAAACTGTTGTAGTCACCTAGTCTATGATTAAAGCCTTCAGTACAAGTACTCAAGGAAATACAGTATTTAATGTAAATCATAAGGACCTATGACTGGAATATTCTTTATATAAGTTTCAGTATTTTTAAAATAGCGATCATTTTTTACGTGAGTGCGAGTCCTTTACACACGTTTTTAATTATATTTATTATTTTTATTTCTGAAACATTTTAAGTATTTTACATAATTTTACAATAAATTCAATTTAAACCACAAAAGCGATGATCTGTTGCGAGAAATCTGTTGAATTGGCGTCAAAAGGATGCGAAGCACTCATCGAAAGCAACGATTATATCGAAGCCATTGGTTTGCTGTCGAAAGCCATTGAAGTGAAAGCAAATGATTACCGCTTTTATGCGAACCGTTCGCTCGCTTTCTATCGGATGGGACGATACGGACTGGCCTTAAAGGACTCGCAAATGGCTGTCCAACTGAACGCCAAATGTGCCGCTAATTACGTACGAAAGGCCAGTGCTCTCAACGCTTTGGGTCGCTATACGGAGGCAGAGGTGTCCGCTAATACTGCCCTCAAACTGGACTCCCGCTCACGACTGGCCGCCTATGAGTTGCTTTTGTCCCGTAAAATGGCATTCATTTCGATGGGTTTCGATAAGGAGGACGTTATGGCGATGATTGTCAACTGTCGGTCCATTACACACGGCTTACAAAAACTTGCAAAACTTATTCAAACGAAAGACTTTTAACTCTTAATTGTTTTATTTTCTTATGAATGTTATCTGAATTTTACTTTTTAACTATCATATGTTTGTACAACTTTTTTTACACATTGTATTTTCTAAGTATCAATATTTGTTAAGTTATTTGTTACTCATTTGTTATACAAGTATGTCTCGACAGAATTAAGTTATTTTTGTACATTTGTTTTGTATATAACTTATATTTGTTAGTTATCGTTCAATTGATTAGAATTGTTATTAGAATTTTAGTGAAAAACAACTTTTTGTTTAAATTTGAGAATTGAATGATGATTATTATTAATGATTCATTAAAGTATTTGACCATATTTCAAATGATTTCGTTTAATGACAATTTTTTCATATTTCAAATTAACTACTGTATAAATTTGAATGAAAAACAAATTAAGTTTTCAGTTTATCAGTGTTTCATGTTTCAGTAAAACTTGCGGTGGAATTAACAATTCACTTTTAAGACTAGAATTATTACTCGCATTACAATAGCTACTAATTAATAATTCTGTCATTCAAATTTAAATAATACTCAAGTGTCTATTTGTTACATTGAGATTTGTGTATCACAAGTACTTATTAATCATCACAAGTGCTCTAAAGGTCCCTTTCAAAGATAACAACAGCATATTCTTATGGTATATAATACTGTATGTTAAAAGTTATAAGAGTTTAACTTATAACATTGAAAAATGCCAATTTGTACAAAATCTTGGGAATGAAGTCAACATTTATTTAGTGAAAGCATTGTTTACCATACAATTGATTAATTATGACTTCTCGCATCACTTATAGGCGTTTCCTATCACAACCATATTTTCACATTTTATAGCCTTTCGGAGTTTAAACCGTTGCTGACATCTCAACCCATTAAGTGATTCACATTATCACTAATAATAGTTTAACGAATCAATAAAACTTACTAAAATCTCTTTTTAATGGGATAGGTATGCACATTAAGCAGTATATTTTTAGACAAAATTAACATTTTTAAGACTATAAGAATTTGTTATATAAACAAATTCTATAACTTTCGCTAACATTATTGTTTTCATAACTCACAAAGGTAATCATCAAATAGCCAATCCCTGGTGAATTTAGTGATAGAATGCATGCTGTGCTAACATTTATTCAATAAATTGTTTACAAAATGCAAACATTGGGTCATTTTAGAGAAATATTGAAATTCTGTATGCAATACAAATGCAACCAAACATTAGTAACTAATGATAAGTTGCACAGTATACCGCCAATCATTGAACAGGTAAATTATATTGCCTACATTTTGTGAACAAATCGCATGATTTGCTAGTTTTGGAAAAGTTTTACAAAATTGTTTTTGTAAAATTTAATTTGTTAATTTGTTATCTCCAGATTGTTACCGTATCACAAACAAACCTATGCATTGAGAATATTATGTCTGTGTCTATAAACTTACTTAAGAATAATAAAAACTTTTAAGAACCGCTATAAATAGCATTAAATTTTAAGTTGCATTCACTGTATTAGAAAATCACAGCGAAGTTGTGTTATAATGAGATTTATTTGGCAACTAAATCATCAAAACATTTATGAATTATATATATTTACAGAATCTAATCGTTCAAACGTCTGCACCTCTTATCTCAAGAATTATTATAATATTAACTTTACATTAACTTTACAGTAAAAATACAGACTTAATCTTAATAAAAACCGGTATAACCCGACACCATACGCAAACTAGATTGACCCTGGTTATATTAATTCTAGCATACAAATGTATATTACTTTTACAAATACAAGTGAATGTAACTTTTAAAAAACTTTCTAAATTAAGTCATCAAACACTGTTAAACGATAGACAAGTCTGTGGAGTGATGTGCAGGCAGTGTCGGGCCGGGAGGGAAAGGGATGTGTGACCGAGAGTGGCATCTATTCGCGTGAATCACGAATCATATGATAAGTGTTTGAGTGAAGCAAATACAGCCCAACCGTACACTCAATGCTGTGTATGTGTTGTACAGTACGTGTAGTCGTAGCGCAAAACCCAACGCATAAACCACTCATAAAATAGTGCGAAAAATATTGTCATTTCGTAAACAAAGCGATCGTTTGTTTCAACGCTTGTCTGCAATACTGTAGCGAAGAGTCACTCAAATCAGTCACATTAATCGTTCAAACGTCTGCACCTCTTATCTCAAGAATTATTATAATATTAACTTTACATTAACTTTACAGTAAAAATACAGACTTAATCTTAATAAAAACCGGTATAACCCGACACCATACGCAAACCAGATTGAACCTGGTTATATTAATTCTAGCATACAAATGTATATTACTTTTACAAATACAAGTGAATTAAAAAACTTTAAAATCTTTCTAAATTAAGTCATCAAACAGTGTTAAACGATAGACAAGTCTGTGAAGTGCAGGCAGTGTCGGGCCGGGAGGTAAGGGATGTGTGACCGAGAGTGGCATCTATTCGCGTGAATCACGAATCATATGATAAGAGCGATGAGTGTTTGAGTGAAGCAAATACAGCCCAACCGTACGCTGAGCGCTGTGTATGTGTCGTACGTACTGTACGTGTAGTTGTAGTGCAAAACCCAACGCATAAACCACTCATAAAATAGTGCGAAAAATATTGTCATTTCGTAAACAAAGCGATCGTTTGTTTCAACGCTTGTCTGCAATACTGTAGCGAAGAGTCACTCAAATCAGTCACACATTCACTGCAATCGACGCATCAAACCATCCATACCTTCAAACCATACGTTTTGGACACTCATTGTCACCGCAATCCACTGCAAATATGGTCTCCGGAGGAATGTCGTGCGTTAAGTACCTGTTGTTTGCCTTCAATTTGGTTTTCGTGGTATGTCTGTCGATCACCCCATAGCTGATCCCATGCATTGCTAACAGTAATTCAATGCATCCATTGTCTCGCTAAATGTCCAGATCTTCGGCATCCTATTGCTGTACTCTGGCTTCAAGACGATCGCCAATATAGATCACTATCACCTGCTCCTGGATGAGGCGCCCCATAACGTGGCCATCGCTCTGGTGATCGTCGGGTTCGCCATCTTCGCGGTCGCATTCCTCGGCTGCTGCGGTGCCATCAAAGAGAACGCTTGTATGCTTACGTCGGTTAGTGTCCATTCATATCACCATTTAGTTGATCCCATGAGTAATGTCTTGCGTTTGTGTCTCTCCTATGAATGACAGTTCAGTTCAATCATATTAGTCATACTTCTGATTGAGTTGATCGGCGCCGGACTCATCTTCGCCTTCAAGTCCACCGTAAGCTCTCTTTGCCATTGATTTTGATGATAATCTGATGGCGAGTATTGATTTGATTGTGTGATTGACAGCTGAAGTCGGCGGCCGAGAAGGGCATAGAGGGGGCCATCGCTAAGTACAACATGACTGACAACTCGACCGACATTAACGTGATTCTGGACGACATCCAGAAGAATCTGAAGTGTTGCGGTGCCGTCAACGCCAGCGACTGGCAGTTGCACAACAAATACCCGGCCGACACCTATCCCCCGTCGTGCTGTGCCACTGAGACCACCGCCAAATTCTGTACTACCGATCCCTACAAGAATGGTATAGCTTTGGTTGAATTAAATGTTTTTTTGGATTAATTATAACTAAAATTGTGATTATTTGTGACAATCATAGGATGTATCGATAAGTTGGAGGCGGACGTGAAGGGCTCGATCGGCCTGTTAGGCGGCATTGCCATTGCTGTGGCTGTCATTCAGTTGATTGGGATTATCTTCTCGTGTTCTCTCAGCCGAAGTATTAAGAGAGAGTACGAAGTGGTCTAAAAGGGGTCATTCACTCCCTATAATCTGGACCTTATGTCCATTCTTTTAATTATCTATTTTCTTATTATTTTAATAATCCTTATTTCAATCATTGGTTTAATAGCATAAAAATTTCTGATTACATGAAATTTAAAGTCAATTTTAAAAACAAATCATTAAGTTATTATTATATTAATTGAGAATTACTTTGATATGATATTAGCGTAAATGTTTACGTAAGTCCTATGAATCACACACACACTGGCTATTACAGTACACCCTAATATGATTTGCAATTTATTATCACTACTCTATTCACACAATCACTGTTTCACTCTTTTCCCCCTATTAGCTATTAAGTCAATGTTTTATAGTTATTATTGATTTGATTCACACACTGTATTAATCGCTAAAGAATGTTAATTAAGATTTTTTTATTTAAAAGCTATTGACAGACAATATTAAGTCACTTGAATAGTACTAAACAATACACAAATCAAATAATGATTTTACGTGTGTTTTGCAACAATGAGTTGTACTGTAATTCATAAGACATTTATTTGTGTATTGTTTGCTATTTTTATTCATTAGTTTGTATTCATTGGATATAATTATAAGAAACTACCGCTTAGTCTAAGAGTCGGAGTGGAGGGGGAGGGGCTGTCAAAGGGGGTGTCTCATTATATCGGATAAAGACCTTGATTAAAATCAATTACCATAAGAAATTCTTGTGCTTAACTGATTAGATAAGTATTAACGGAAGAATTGTTTAGAAAATATATTATAAATGGTTTTTTAATTAACAAATAACTCTCTGTCGCTAATCAGTTAATTATATCATTACTTTTTAACGATTAATTCATTACTACTTTTACTCAATGGTCTGACAATATATTTCTTGAATTCATTTTACTTAATTGAAAAAGCAATTCTTACAATTTTTAAACGTTATCTCAAAATTCATACTACAGTAATATTATCTCTCAAACTTTTATAGCAAAACTTTGTATAAAATTTCAAATTTTTCTATTTAAAACAATTGTGTGAATAATGTGTAAAATGATCTCTAATTACAAGCGATAAAAAAAGGTAATATTTAAACACAAAATTATGAAAACAGTTATGAAAACTAATTCTTTGATTCAAGTATAATGCGATACTATTCACGTACAGCCAAATGTAGTTTGAATACACTTTTGGCATAAAATGTTTTTGTTGAAATTACAAATTTATAATTTATATGTAAAATATATAATAATATTATAGAAAACGCGTTTATTAGGTACACAAAATAAACCAAAATTTATTTTGTTTGCCCAATAAATCTTCAAATAATTTGCAAACAATTGTATAAAAAAGCGTTTTTGACATTTGAAATAAAAGTTTTATGAAATAAAAGAGGTACACTACACTATAGTGTATAAAATACAGTACATTTAAAGTGCATTTAAAAACTTTCAATTGAATGAGTGACTGAAAAATACCGAGAAATATATAGGCTTTTAAATGTTTGTGTGCAGTGAATGCAATGCATAATAAAAGGTATGGGTTTGTGATGTGTATGTGTGGTGTCAGTCGGTACCTGGCGTTGGCATGATGTTAGACAGTGGTGGTGGTGGTGGGGCTGTCAGAGCCTATGCCTACCTGTTGCCTACCTGTGCGATGGTGTGTGCGCTGGCGTGCATTCCGGACCGGTTGTGTATTCGAGAGAGCGCTGGCAGCCTATGCTATAGCTATGGGCCAGCCGTATGAGGGGGGGTATGGGTGCGAGTCATGCGCCGCTCACTTGTATGCGTGTAAAAGTTATTGTAGTAATAAGTTATTTGTGCAAAAGTGCAAAACTATTTAACTATTTTTTATTTCTCTCTATTGAAACAATTATTTGGCTGCACATAGTATTATGATATGATACTATGGAAGCACAAGTTTCCTTACTTTGTGTAGTGATATTATGCCTCCACTGGACACCGCATATCTTGACCACCACTCAGATCGGTATGTATACCAGCGGCCAATCACCACATATCCAAACACAGTGTCATTATAAACGCTGTGAAACACTATGAAGTGATCACTCATTGCAATCCTATCTCTATCCCCATCGCCTATATATTCATATATATATATCTACTGGATATACACCACTCTCGTACAGAAGCCAATGTCTGTCAACTCAATGAGTTCCGGTGTGTCAACACATCCAAGTGCATCGATGAGACCAAGAAGTGCGACCATTGGAGCGACTGCGGGGAGGGCGACAACTCGGATGAGCAAGGTTGTGACTTCCCGGCGTGTCATGAGGGACAGTTCAGGTGCTCCAATGCCATCTGCATTCCTCACGTAAGCGCACCACCATTTTCACTGTCACTTGATCACCTGGATGATTGTTTATGTCAAACATTGTACACTCAAAACATGTTTACTAATGTTTTACACGCTTACAAGTGTAGTACTAGACTATTTGTAAATGAAC